AAAAGACTTTTCAAAAATAGATAACAGACTCATATCCTGAATCCGTTCCTGAATATCAAAAGGGCAAATTTCTTTCCGTTTATATAAAACCATCCCCTTTGTCATGCCCCGGACTCAGTAGAGTTAAAGCTTTTCATGAGATGGTTTTAGGAACGCAATTCAGCCTCATGTTATGTCCCCCACTTAGCTTTTCCAAGAGGAGCTGCTACCGAGATGGGCAGGGTTTCTACTTAGCACTTAATGACGTCAAACCGATCCTTGTCCTTGCCCCACTGGCTCCTCTGCGGGAAGCAGGCCCACTGATATGCTCTCCGAGGACAGGGGGAGCCCTTGGGGGTGAAAAAGATGGTGCCCTCAACTGGAAGGTTTTCAGGCAGGAGACATTCTCTGCAAGCCGGGAGGGCAGAACTGAACAGGTGGGTTGAGCCTTGGGAAAGTAGGCCTGTTTCTATGGGTCATTAGGTGAGCCTTCTTGATGAACCAAACAGTGGGACAATCTGGGTAGCAGGCAGTTTCTCTCTTTCTCATCCATCCATCCTTTATCCATCATCCCCATCCATCCATCCATCCATCCATCCATCCTTTATCCATCATATATATCATCCATCCATCCATCCATCCACCCACCCACCCACCCGCCTTTTATACAAGAGCTCAAAGCAGCATACATATTTTACACAATTTTACACAATTTATTAAGCCACCCATCTCACTTTTCCCAAGTGACTTTTCTCCACAACAACAATTCGGGGGTAGGTTGGGCTGAGAGAGTGTGACTTTGGGCCAGTCGCCCACTGAGTGGCTAAGGGGGACTACAACTTGACTCTGCCTGGTGCCAATCCAAGATCTTAACAACTAACGCACACTGGCTGTCATCACAGGCTGCTCATCAGCTGTTAGAGAGAGGAGAAGGCCCTGAGTTTGGACTAGGTGGTCTTCATGACCTTCAGCTCTAGGATTCTGTGAGTGCTCCTTGCCACCATCTCAGCCAACCTGTCCCCCCAAAGTTATTCTGTGCCACCCCTCCAGATGCATTGTGCTCCCACCATTCTAAGCCAACTTCGCCACGCATGATGGGGGTTGTAGTCCCACATCTGGAGAGTGCTGACCTTGACAGAAATTCAACTCTTTTTGTCAGGTAAGTGTTATACAAATTGGAAGCACTAAGGAGACACGAATGTCACTTGCGCCTCCTGCTGGTGAAACGTCATTTTGCAAAGAAACAGCTAACTACGAAATACCAGGCCTTTTCAAGAGGGATTTTGCTCCTATACTGGATGTAGTTGTTTGGGGTTTCCACCCCAGGGTGGCTCTGCCCTGAAAAGTTAGCAGGAATGAGCATTTCCATTTGCTTGGGCACAAAAATGGAGAAAAACAACACTCAGCAAAATTCTCCTCTTCAAGTTGATTAAAATCCTAGTAGCCATATAAAGGATAGCTCTCTGGGACACAGTTCCAGATGTGCAAGAGACAGTCCGCACGCATCCCCCCATCCAGACAATAACAGCATTCACAGGATGTGCTTCCCTACGATTAACTGAACCATTGTTTATTTGGTTCATCCCACTTTCTGGTCTATGTGAGAGACAGAACAATAGAGTGACTACACAGTCTTGGTTCACACAAGGTCAACTAAAATGGGTCAAAGAAGCAGAAACATCTTTTAAATTATTATTGTTGGTCGCACAGTCAGCCAGATGTTTAGACTGGATCTGGCATTTTTATCCACCTATTGAGTCTTTTCCAAGGACCTGGGATAGGCAGATGTGGTTGTTTGATGGTGTTAAAGGTATTGTCGCAGGATGGAAGCTGTTTCAAGTAAAGCTATTATTATTATTATTATTATTATTATTATTATTATTATTATTATTATTATTATTATTATTAT